CGTTTTCATTAACTTCTGTCCTAGTGCCATATAACCATAAGACAGATCACACTAACATGTCCGAAGCATGTCATGAAATAACAAAACGTTGAAATGACTAGTGAACCTTTAATATATTTTGCAATGCTGTTTCACTAAAGGGAAATGATATCACAATTCATGTCTGATATATCCTGGCTTTCTTACAGTCTTTTATTTAGTTTCGATACTTCAGGCAATGACACCTTACTTCCTCTAAAATAATCGGCATTAAAATATTTCAGTGGACTAAGGCTAGTTGCAGTTTAATTTAGAGTGAACAAATACAGCTTCTAACTACGGACCGAAATGACATGAAATCTTCCATCGCGTTTCCATTATTATGGATTTGGTATGACTCTTGCGCAACCGTAACTGTAAGCATTAAAACGTCATGAGCTTAATTTGGTGTAGATCTCTTTGATATATTGATATTGCACTTTTTCTGTCTAACCAGGCGAGATTGCCATACTGCCTCGTCTTGTAGTATTGTTGGTTCAGTAATATTACTGATTTTAATTGATTGATACGAGAAAATGCAAATGTTCTTGGGTGAGCATCATGATGCGTTCCTCTTTGCTGTGGTTTGCGTTGAGCATTTATTCTCTCTGCCTTAATTTTCGGTATTTATTTCTATTTAATTTTATTTTTCCTCATCTTTGATAAAGTCAGTTATACAACAGAAACCTGTGGCGCTGATAATAAGCAATTGGTGGTGTTTCAGAATTTTACTTTAGGTCTTTAGTAGTGTACCAAATAAACGTTTAAGTAAATATTTATGTTTCTGTTCTTCTTTACTTTCATCGCAGGTTCGATTAGCGTTAAGCCAGAAACGTATGTGGTATGAGATCTTCGCACACCAAAGTTTTTCTTCAAGTTGGTATTTAATATAGTTAAAAAATTAAAACTCTTTGAAATTCACTCAAAGCTAAATGCTACTGTTACTTACAAATCGAGCCAACACAACTAATATATGAGCATACACTATCTTAAAATTCACTTCGATTGTTGATTGTATATGAAGCACTCAGAAGTACTCATAAAAAGTTGACCTAATCCATCTCCGATTACCATAAACTGACCTGTAATATATCATAAACTTTTTTAGCAACTTCCCGTCCTCATTTTTAACGCTCTTGAATTTATCCTATTTTCTGATTTATGCACTCCTATTTATTAGTTTACTCTCAGTCAAATTTCAACGCGTAAATTTTCACAAATAAAAAATTGCTACATTCTTTAATTTCACTCTTTTATTTATGCAGTTTTATATTCTGTCGAATAGTAAAATAAAGGGAAGAATTAACTTTATCTATTCTCTATCTAATTTAAGTTCAACTATATTGTCAAATATAAAATGGAATAAATGTCAAACTGTTTCTTTTGACCATAATAATATTCGAATTGCATGTTTTTGATTCCTCAGACTGGAATTGATATGGCAGCCGAATTTCATTCTTACGACCTGTACGGCATAAACATTCGTCAACAGAAGTTGACTAGAAATATTAACAAATAAATGTTCCGTCACTTTGAGGTGGTTCTAAAAGGAGTTACATATGGAGGACATTTGGACTAGTAACAATTAATTACTGAAAATCTTAACGACTAGCATTTGTCCTTCTTATAGTTTGCTTAACAGTTAATAATTTGCAGTTAAAAACATCCATTTTGAGAAGTCGGGAAATTTTTATTTTTTGCTTAAATGCAGGTTTCATGTTGTCTTTCTTATATTAATTTGCGTCCTGATTTATATGTTGAGCTCAAATTGTGACTTTTAAGAAATTATTGTAAGGTGACTGCAGATCTCCCTCTCAGATATTTTTACTTTTTCTAAAAAGAGCAAACTCTGCCTACAAAATGCCCGGGTTTCAATGCGCTGTTTGCGGCAAAACATGCGCTTCTTCATTTCTCCGTCTGAACGGGAACTACTTTCATTATCACTGCTTCCAGTGCTACCGTAAGGGATTTCATTATTAAAATCTGTTTGCCTAGTATGTCAATGTGATCTGCAAAACACTGGCTATTACAATAAAGAGGGTAAACTTTATTGTCCGGAAGACTTCGAAAGAACCTTTGGGAGTCTGTGTGGAATCTGTAATTGTCCCATACGTGGCGACAGAGTATTGGCTCTGGGTCTACAGTTTCATCGAAAATGCTTTCACTGTCAGCTTTGTCGGTATGCCGTACTATTTCTTCCATTAACTGTATTAAATAGCGCTGTTTTTCAGGTCAAAAATCGTATTCTTTTCATTGGCAGCAAATTTTACTGCGAACAATGCTCAAGAAAGGTGGCGCCAAGTTATAAGCAGAAGAGAAATACTCTGTGCTCAAAATATTGTAATTGCTAGTATTTACTGCCTAAATGATTATTCAATGCTTACCTGTATCGGTAAATTCTCTTTCTTTATGAGCGTGTTGTCTTCTCCTTATAGCTCCTTCTCGAAACCGGACCCATTCCTTGCCAAGAGTATGCTTTGGTTTCAGTTAACTTTGCCTCCAAAGTTTGACTTTTTCATTTAAAACGGGAGCAGAGCTTCATCTTTTATTGTTTTTATTACTATCTACGTCTTGAGTCCTACATTTGATTGACTTTGATGGAAAATGTGTTATTTTCTAGAAAAATTATGCAGGGTGTAGTTTTGTAATTTTAATATTGTTTTAGGGAAGGCGAAAATATTATATATTTTGCTATAAGCATATGCTTCTTGTACTGTAAAGACAGGACACCTGAATAGGCCCAGGGTTCATCGTTTGCCAGATTTTTACAAAGTTAACTTAAAATGTTGACATTTATGGACACATAACACCGTTTCATAAGTAAATCCATCCAAAATACGATGATTCGTTTCTTTTATCGCACTTATTGTTGCCAACTTAATTTCCCTTATAAATTCAAATAAAATTACGTTACGATTGACCGTACTGGCAACACAGTTACTATTCAAAAGCCCAGACACTTATTTCGATGGCATTCTGTCGTTGGTTCACACAGCTGCGAGGGGTCCGCCTCATCAGTAGGTCCCCTAGCATTCCCTTTGTACTTCGTAGTAGGTAGTTCAATTTTGAAATTTTGGCCCTCGGAAAGTAATTTTATATTTACGTAGATCAGTATACTCAAGAGTCCAAAAGTATAGACGAGAAGTTTATATGAATATTTTGGCTGAAGTCCATCATGTCAACATTCGCTCTACACCTGGACACCCCTGAATATACTGACCTACTCCGAGTTAAAATTAATTTCTGAGCTAAAATTTTAATAAAGTGTTCTAACCGTCGCATTTGATGGTAGCTACTGCATACCCTACGCCGTGTATGCAGCGATACCTTGCACAGGAACTATTTTATGATAAGATAGACATTTACGGATCCATCACACTCTCTGTTTACCACATTCCTTGCCATTCTGATAAGATAAGGCCAATGGGAGCGAAGGTGGTTGCAGGACTGATAACTTATATAGAATTGAAAGACTAGTATAATATTAATTATTTTAGTGACCGAAGTTAATCATTTCGAGACCGTTACTAGAGTCCTTGAGGCTTAATAACATTCCAACCAACGCAATAATGTGGACTGCAGTCCTCCTTTCCGTATCATTTTTATACGAGACCTTGACCACCAGACTTATATTTTAGCCCGCTCAGGCAACCCTGGAGGAGTTTCAGGAAGAGTTATCACAAAGACTGGCAGGCAGGTTACCATCTGTAGATTGTTTACTTTTTTGTAGTAAGCCACTGTTTTTAATAGGATTATTTATATAGAGTAATAACGTCTGGAAGTTCGGCACCCATGTATGATTGTAGTTTTATTTTTACAACTGTAGAGATTTGTAGTGCTGTTTCCTTGACGTTGTTCTCATCTTTAGTCGCAAATTTGGAGCTCGATGCTCTTAAATAGACATTAACTGTTGGGTTGGTCAGGCCATTATAAGTGTATTGTGACATCATTTAGCGTTGTCAGCTCAACTAAGGTCAACGAGGGCTCTAGTCATCAGTCAGCCAGATGCTGTGTGTATGAATAGATTGCCAGAAGCTATAGAGTTAAGTAATTTAAACAAAGAGAAATAATTCTTATTTGCCGCCTGTTCATAAGTTATGTCATGCTTGGTGTGCTTTATAGCCAAGATGTTGTTTGGAACTTTGATTACTTTCGCTGGGTGGACGACCTCACTACAATACGCTCTTTCATCTCATGTTGTTCAATTGGTTGTCATATCTTGCATCAATCTGTGCAAATAACTTGACGCGGATGACTTCATTTTTTGAGATCGGCAGTCTATGAACTAGAAGCCCTGAGGCTTTATACTGACGTTTCTGAATAGTGAATGCAGGCAGTCATCGGGGGGAACCAACGCTCCATCATGCCATATCATGCAAACACTAAATAAGAGATTTATCTGAAAGTCTAGATTTACTGGTTTGCCGCTTTGGAGCATATCCACTTCGTCAGTAGAACATTATACGCGTGCACCTTCTATAGTACTGTGTGGATCAGAGTTACTGCGGACTGGGAGACTTGTTACTATTAGTTCTATTAAAGCCGAAAACATGTTTTAACAAATCCATGATTCAATTCCTGTGTGACTTTACGACCTTTTGATATAGCTGCAACGTTTGCAGACACCTTTTTGAGTATACTTCTGTTTATTACCTTGGGATTCACTTTAAAAATAGTCCTGGTAATTAAGATGTCCATGAGGGTCCGATGATTCTTCAGGTTGCTATAGAATGAAATGTCGACCAGGATACCGCAACAGCCCAGTTATTTCGACCATTCCTTTAGACGTCATCACTGAGAGTTCATCATCATTCAGTAGAAATAAGTGTGTTGCAGAATATCCGAAACCACAGTGAGCAATAAGTTGCTAAATACTGGGCTCACTTGTCGCTCTTTCTCTGACCTCTGCAAACCTAGTGCAATATAAAAACTGCCAGCCGCACACAGTGAGCAGCCAGCTTAGGAGAAGTTTTACCCTGCCCATGGAAACCGCAAATCCGACAACGACCCTGTCTACTGCAGATGCAGTAACACCTCAACCATCAGTGAAGCCACGAAAACCTGTAGGGCTGGCTCTCCACGAAGCCAAGCCCCCAAAGGCGCCGAAGGCGTCTCGCGTCCTAGACAAGCCCCCTCAGACACCAAGAGTTCCACCGCCGGGTCAAGATGTCCTTCACAAAGGGCTAGACTCACAAAAAAACTCCCGTGTATCGCAGTTGGTTCAGGTAAGCCCAGCGCAGAGGCTTTATGTATATCCATTACATTACTGATTGTTTCGATGAGTTGGCATTCATTAAAACGCCGTTATCTTTATAATATTCAGAACTAGCTCCTAAGGCTGTCGATAAATAAGGTAGCGGTTCAGACTTATGGGACATTCATATCGCATTTAGCCCTAAAATATGCAAGGTCAGTCAGGTCCACGCAAAAATGTGGTACTCAGTAAACACGCACATGCATCTACACGAAAATAGAATTGTAGATGTAAATATAACTCATTTATGCCGTGTTCCGCACTTATGTGTCCTACAAAAGAGGGCAGAACACGAGAAAAGGTGCCCCCGTATTAAAGGTGACATTAAACTAAAATCTAGGACTTAAGGCTGTGAAATGAAAATCGATGCCACCCTGGAGTTTAAGCAAAATCCACCTGTACTCTGTACAAGCGGCATCTACTTCAGCAGCAAACCCACAAAATAATTTGAATTGCGGAAAAAATACAGTACGGCCCCGAATTCGTGTAAAATGTCGATAGATGTGAAAAGTTGATTTTCTCTCGATAATCGCTATTGAGTAACGTTTTAATACTGATTATAGCGTAGCCTATTTTGAAGTCATTTCAGTCATGATAGGATGCCGGCTTTTTAACGAGCTTCTTACTAACTGCTTACAAAACGTATGTACTGTAAAAGGTGGCTACTTAAGAAGCATGCCATTTATCGTTGATTTTGACTGCCTTTATAAATTCAAATATATTGTATGGAAAACATGCATAAAAAATCTTCCTTGTGCTCGTTTAATAGCAAATTACGCCTTCTTTAACGTTTATGCTTGAAGAAAAGGTATCTTTCAGTTTTAAAAAAGATGTTGCATTCGATATAGAGAAGTTATATGAATACTGACATATTTTGCTAGAATCAGTTTCATCTTCATGTGGTGGCTACTTACGGTTCTCAAGGTGACTGCACACCAATGCATGGACTTCAGTAAGCAAACAAGTTCCCAGTATCTGGCAGAGATCAAGAAGAGGTTGTTGGAGTGCGATTACCGACACCTTGAAGGTTCCCAATTTCCATGTCATGGAGACTGAGTTATTGAGCAAACTTTCCCGAAGCACGAGAGCTCACGCGCAACATTGCAAGCCGTCTCTTCTAGACTATTTGTCTTTGGGGACCTTAGACCACAGCGCATGCGTGCGCTTTGACTCTATCCGCCGGTAGCCAATCAGAGAAAGATGCATTGTTGATGGGCCTCAAGCTCTCGCCACATTAGCGCCAAGTCTCGCACTGCTCTAACATCCAGTTGTTGTCGTTGTTAAATGCGCTGCTCTGGCAATACTTGTGACTTGATCGATCAGACAAGATTTTTAGCGCATGTTTATATCGTGGTCTCCATCATCCATGGTCCATGGTTCACAATGAATGGCAATCTTTAGTATTTAGTTGTTTTCGTATTCCATCTATCTGAAGACCGTTTTGCGACTTCTGTGTTCATTCAGACGTTTAATGTTCTGAAAATTCCTAATTATAACAATAATTATCTATCGAAACACATTGGAAATCGCTTTCGCGCGATACCAGCGAGTGGAAATGTGGCGCCCTAAGAGAGTGGACAGAGGAAATGGGATAAATCATCCGGAAATACTCTTCAGAGTCAACGGGTTTCTACCTGCATTTTGTAAAGGAAATCGTACGCTCCTATGAAGCCCAAATGCGGCTTTCTTTCGAACAAAATCGTGGTGGAGTATACTATAAAGGAACGAAATCTTCGAGGCCGTGGCTAGAGTCTGTTTAAAAGGTAGAATAATATTCTTCCACTAGACTGGTTCAACACTGCGCCATCAATGGCAGGAGCGAAAAGTCATGTTCCATGCCACTGGAAGCAAGCCACTCTCTGCCGTCTTTGGTGCAGTTTTGAAAAGGTTGACTAATTCAATAAAACTTAAGAACAACAGCGCATATTAGCTGCATAAAGACCACGTGTCTATGTCGACCTCAAAGCCAAAATCAAAATTGCAACTCATATCGAACAGATAGAACATATCCTCAATGTTGGCTACGGTTATTTTATCTGCTGGGGCGATGATCACGTACCAGTACAGGTGAATAAGGCATTCTGTCAACTGACTACCCGGTTTCATGCCATAAAACCTCCTTGCCCCATATCTGGCTTTGCTAAGCTATATTATAAGAGACGTTCAAAGCTGAAACTTGTTGGAGTCGCCAATTATTGTCATGGCCATTACGTATAGTGGCGAGAAGGACCACAGCCCAATGGGGGCCCGTTTCACACCAACTGTTGGTCTTTGCGACACACACGCCAACCCTAATCCGTATGTAACCCGCGTGTCCTATTGGGCACAGTAAGGAAATTATTGTCTGGTCTCTAAAGCCTAGCAGCTGAAATTGCTGCCCAGCATATCAGAACATGCACATGCACTTTTCGATGAACGCCTCCTCCTCCTCCTCTTTTTGTACGAAATCCCTAATCTGACTGTCATGTAATTGAATGCTCCTGCGTCTGTATGGCGGATTCTGCCTCGTACGTAAGCCCATGTTTACCCCACACCTTTACTATGGAAGTTTGGTCGTACTGGTTGAACGATCAGAACGTGTGTGGCACGCATAAAATGAGGCCTTCGTAAGATGTCAGTCCGATCTCATCATCAGTCAGCTCTGGAGAC